AGTGCTATTAGGTTATAAAATCATACTTCATTTATGTATTTTAGTGGAGTTATTTTTTTATTTTATTTAGTTTATTTATACACTTTATACAAAACATGTTAAGGTGGACTTAATGCCTTAGGCATTGTCTAACAGTCGACCTTTGGGTGATTGAGAGATGAGAGCGGCAGAGTTATTTTCGTTTTTTAAAATCCAGGGACAGATTACTTTTATAAGGTGCGATAAAGCAACTGGCTGCCAACGTGTCGTGAGGATTAGGGATTTGAATTTTGGATAGTATATCGACCTCCAGTTACACGGCAAAACACAAAACAAGTGAAAAGTAAATGTTCAAGAAATACACCGCAACCTACTTTCAAAAATAGCCAGTTTGTTTTAATATACGGAAATCATAAGGGTTTGAAGACATGGGAAAGTTCTTTATGCAGTCCATAATAACTGGATTTATATGGGGTCGTAAATTATACCTTATAAAGACATTTTTAGTGTCGTAAATGGCTTGTTTTCCTCGTATTTGGGACTGGGGGTGATATTGAAGGAAATTGGGAGTTATTTTATTGTTCGTTGGCTACTATTATATACTTCCACATCCGTGGCTACTGTTGAGGAAGTAGTTAAAGATTTCATTAACTGGTGAAAAATTAAATTTTATATTTATTTAATCGACTAGCCGATGCAGGTTTTTAAAATTCTTATTCCCGAATAGGAAGACTAGATGTATGCATGTGTATATCAAACAAAAAAAGAAATGAATGATTGTAACTGCAAAAGAGTACCTAACCATGGAGTTTTTGCTCGTTAGCTTGCAGGATTAGCTTTGCTTTATTAGACAACCGACCAACAAACTGATCAACACTAAGTGTAACATTTTGATATTCAATTATTTTGTTTGACGTTCAATAGTTGTTATAGTGCACTATTTGAATAAATGATTTGACTTTCCACTATTTTGTTGATAATACATTGTAATGTAAAATCGACTTGTGTGTTTCTGTGGACCAGAACTAAATCCGAGTGTTGATGCGTTGCAGACTACCATAGATAGGGTCCACTAAGAACAACGCCCAGCCATGGTTGCAGACAAATCACAATAACGTACCAAGGAGCAGGAGAAGGAATGGACTGCTTTCTGTGTGTGTGTGTGTGTCTAGCGTGACAAATTCAAAGTCAACGTCAAAATCATTTATTCCAACGAGACCATAATTATGTACTTTTGATACGTCAAAATAGAATAGTTGTTTGTCAGTCTGTTTGTCAGTAAAGCTAGGTGCGACATTCCATTCTCGCTTTACGCAGGGTGGAAGAAAATAGAAAATGATTTTCCGTTAAAAAAGCACCATATTCACCTTCATAAAGGGTACGGGTAAAATAATACAATAATATAATTATAATACATATTTATTATAATTGCACTACGAAGTATTTACAATTTACAAAAATATAAAATTGTTTATTTCTTAGTTAATAATGATATTATATCTAACAATTAATTGTTTTTCTTAGTATGCGCTCGGTCTTACTTCTTGTGGTAAGCTGAAACAAATAAAAGGTTGTTGAATCAACGTTTTTCATTGTAGTATTTAATGGTTTTGGAATTGGTTGCCTTTTTTTTGTCAGGGGAAAAATCATCCAATGACTTTTCCCGCCCAGGGTGAGACGAGAGAGAGTGTTAGACTCTTACTGACTAAAAAACCCCACGATCCTTCTCCTGCTCTAGGCCGAGATCGCGGTGCCTCATTGCGCTTACCCCGCAACCCGGCTGAACATCAGCCCTATTGGGCCCCGTCTGTGGGGAATTGGCTGCCTGATTTGCGAATAGCATTCATCGGTTTCCGTGGTGTAGCGGTTATCACATCTGCCTAACACGCAGAACGCCCCCGGTTCGATCCCGGGCGGAAACATACTTTTGTCTCATTATTTATTTGAATTTCTCTTGTATAACTTCACTTTTATTTTAAACTAGCGACCCGTCTTCAACCACTCTGTCTAGTAAAAAAAACCGCATCGAAATCCGTTTCGTAGTTTTGAAGATTTAAGCATACATAGGGAAACAGGGACTGAGAAAGCGACTTTATTTATACTATGTTGTGATATTGTTTTTTTACTATAATAAAAAAAATCTAGAAATACTAACAACATAAGTTTCAAATCTGAAACGTGACCTCAAGCTAAGGTGGCTCAAATATTTCGAAATCAATCTGCATACTAATTAAATATTCAGAAAGTCTGTAATAAAATTTTACTCAACGATTTAACTTTTCGAATACTTGTTTAATCCAATTTGGGAAGTCCAATATCTGTAGTCGACAGTAGAACTCGGGAATCATACAAATTTCTCGACGAAAATGCGAATGTAATGTGATACGGGATGTTCTAACTTTTGAGATCATCCTTTTGATTATCAGGTTTGTTTGAAAGACGTAACATACGTTTTAAATGTGTTATAGGAATATAGGGCTATAGGGATAGCTAGCTTTCGCTTGCGACTACGCGTACTAAATTTCACACAAATAGGTTCAGTAGTTTAGGCCTTAAGAAAAGACAGACAGAGTTACTTTCGCATTTACAATATTAGTTAGAAAGTTTGGATTTATTCTACTGCCTTATTGCTATATCCATTACTGTTCATTATTCTGATTCCTCAATTCGTTTTGCAGCGTTTTCGGTGATAAAAATTTACGTGTGTGTAATATATATACTATTTACTAGTATTGACGATTCCCGTGTAGCTACTGGCAGTGGTTAGATGCGAAGAGTTGAAGAGCGAACTCTATGGTGTCTGTATTAGAGAAGTTTTTGCTAAGTTTGTTTTAGCCCGGCACTCGCTTTTCATGATTTTTTTTTTATGTAATAGGTCGGCAAACGAGCAGACGGATTACCTGATGGTAAGCAATCAGCGCCGCCCATGGACACTCGCAACGGAGGAGTTACGAGTGCGTTGTCGACCTTTTAGGGATTAGGGATTTGGAGATTTAGGGATTGATGATGTATAAATGTGACTTTTTCTAAGTTATAAGTACTTTCTTAGTGTATTTAGATACCATTGATTATCGGTGAGGTAAGCCATCGTGAGTAAACTAGGACTTTATAATTACTGATTAAAAGTTTGAAATTGGCATCCGGCTTGGCTAGGCGTGGTGATTAATGCTTAAACCTTCTGCATGTGAAAAAAGGGTTAAAGGGTTGGCTCAGTAGTGGGCAGTTACAGCCTGATGACCATGTCAAAGAGCGCATTGAAAAAGGAGACATGATGTCGAAATGTTTTTATCTAATTAAACTCTTTAATGGAATAAATATAAGATTGAAATTAAAAAAAAAACATGTTCCAATGAATCGTTGCCAACAGACGGAAACCAAATAGAGAAATGAGTTTATCCACTGACGGTTTTTAGATTTACCGAATCCGTTACAAATTGGAGGAAAAATGTTGGGGAAAAACTTTGGAGAAAATCTATGCGAATCGGATATGCTGTAAAATGCAGTTTTTTTTTGTAAAGCCGATTCTCTATGGCTGTATGCCCGAAGTTAGAATGGATGGTAAAATGAACACGAACGTTTTTTTTAACGTATCTAGTTATGTTATAGTATGTTATACGAGTAGTACTTTTGTGGTCAAACGCGTCTATTTTATACTTGACTTTATTTAACTTTTAATGTTTGTTGGTTGAAACACATATCATACGTGAAATAGGATGCTGCAAAAAAAAAAAAAAATTGAAGCCCATATTTTCAACCGATTGATCCGAAATGTGCAGTAACACGTTTAGTTTGCATGAACATCATTAAGATTAACTCCTTTACTTATATTTTCTTTATACCGAGTGTTGTAAGGTCCGGGGGATTATTGCCCAAATTACTAAGAGAGATTATTTAAAAAAGACAAGACGTCCTCTTAGTTAGGTAATTCATATGGGTAAGGGTTGATTTTTCAATGGTTAGATAAAAGTTACCTTGGGAATAATTATGGTGCTGCCGTGTCAGAATGTTTGTATAAGACAGTGACAGCAACAATTTTATTCCTCAGATATGATTTATCTGACTATTGAAAAATCAGCCTTAAGTCGTTGTTTTCAATAAATATACCAAATTTATGTCTGACGATAAAAACTCGCATGATAAATTCAAATTGTCTCAGAATAGTTACTTTTCAAAAAACAAATTTATTTTAACTTTTTTCTTAAATTGGTACCTAATATAAAGTTTTTTAAACGTCGATAAATTATTTCATTAAAACGGTCAAGCAATGTGAAAGTTTCCAGACTTTCTTGTGTATATAAGTCAATATAATTGAAGGTAAATTTAATTAGCTTTAGTGTCGATGTCGATCGAAGTTATTGACGCAGCCACTTATTGACAGTTACGTATTGATAGAATTCATGTAGAGTAAATTGTCATATAGCATAGTACCTCGAGGTCGTGGTGGCCCGGAGGGTGCGGGTTCGAAACCTGGCAAGTACCAATGTGACTTTTTCCGAGTTATATATACTTTCTATGATTATTTAGACATCACTGACGAGATATGATGAAGGTAAACATCGTGAGGAAACCTGGACTTATAATTTCTAATCATAAGTTTGAAATCGCCAACCCGCATTGAGCAAGCATGGTGATTAATGCTCTAACCTTCTCAGTGTGAGAAGAAGCCTTTGCTCAGCAGTGGGCACTTATAGGCTGATGTTGATAGTACCTCATTACTATTAGTGTTTTTTTACATTTTGTTATGTAAAAACGTAGGTTCTGATTAAACTTCATAGTCAAAAAACCAGACACCAAACAAAACAATATTAAATTGATAGTTTTTGATTCTTGATATTTAATTTTTATTTTAAGTGACATTATTATTGTAGTCGAGGTATTAATATTTTAGACGGTTTATATGTAAATACGCATTGAATTGAGAATCTCCTCCATTATTTTTCGGTTAAACATTACGAAAATACTTATTAAAAAAAAGAAATAACCTTTAAATTGTTAAAATTCTTCTCACCTTGTAATGATGACTATTCCAAAATTCGTCGTGTATTTTGATTGACTTTAGGCAACCTGAAAATAAAACAAGAAGAGAATAAACATCTTCGTGATTCATTTTCAGATTTTTCAATAACGAGAAAATGAAAATTAATCTTAATAACGAAGAATTTTGGGTAGAGATTAGTGGTTTCCACATCATGCGCCTATTAGTGCCCACAGATGATCCAAGGCCTCTTCTCACACGGAAAAGGTTTGAGCATTATTCACTTCGCTTGTTTAAGGCGACTAACTTATAGAAATTATAAGTCCAAGATTCCTCATGATGTATTCCTCCATCGTATGTCAGTGGTGTCCAAATAACCATAGAAAGTACGTAAAGCGTGTTGCTTATTGCTCCAACCTTCTTCATGTGAGAAAAGACCTTTACTCAGCAGTGGCCACTTAAAGGCTGATGATTCGTATTAGTGGCTTATTTCCTTGGCACACAAATTATTACTGAATACTAGTAACTAAATGACAATACAAATGGCTAAAGTAATAATGATGTTCCATGTGTTTTAGTAGCCTTTCTGGTAAAGGCTGAACTGTCCTTAAATGTTTGCAAGGTCAGCGGATTACCCTATCGTGACGCCTCATTAACGACATTCTTTTTACTTATTTCTTAGTTTTTTTTTATTAATTAAGTTAGGTAAATAGAATGCAGATTGATTTCAAAAAGCGTTTCTAATTTGATTTTGATGAAGGATATCACAGAACGCTATTCCGTGAAGGATATTATGGGTGGCGTACAAGATCAAATAATATCACCCAACGCGTCAATAGACAGAAAAAAATTATCAGAAAAAAATATGTCTGATATAGTTTTTCCATTACTTACTTACTTTGGTTGTATTAAGTGGAAAGGCATCTTTCTAACAGCTTCTTCAGCTATGTCCAGGGGGAAGGCGAACTCAATCATGTTCTCATTGAGGCAGTCATTGTAGGTTGAGGCCAGTTGACATCTGTCTGACATGCCTTCGATGCTGTCCAGGCAGAGCCGAGAGACGGTGTTCAGCTTGCGAACCACGCGGGAGTTCTTGCCATTCACCAGGCTTGCGAGGTGGACTAGAAGTTCTCTGTTTACCTGTGGTAGATTTTTTTTTGTGTAGTTTAGCTGAAGTACTCTTCAAGATGTTGGAGTATTGTTAATATATTTAATGGGATATGGTAGCAAACAGGTGTATTCTTATTGATACCGTAAATGAACATTCGCAACACCGTGTAAGTACCTACAGGTACGTTCCGGCGTTATGGGGGGTTACAGGTTTTAAGAATTGGAATTGCGATTGTAACACGGGTGGGAAGATTGCTCAGTAACGGTTTGTAGACAGACTCTTAATCTTATCATTTATTGGAATTAAAGTCTTTATTTCAGTCATTTGCGTTTAACTTTATGTAAATATTTCATTGGTACCGAGAAACTGTGTGAATACCGTGCACCTAACCTTGTCAATCTTAACAAACAAAATTTGGGGCATGGTAGACATGGGAATTTCAGCATTAGTAGGTATATTCTCATTGACTGCATGGTTAACGCGATGACTGGGCCGCGACTGGCTGCCGTGCAACGTGTTGCGGGTTCGATCCCCGCACGGAACAACTTTTGTGTGATCCATAAATTGTTGTTCCGGGTCTGGGTGTGATGTGTATGTTTGTAAACAGACCCACGACAAAGGAGAAAATGCTAGTGTGTGGCAAGGATTTAAAATAAGGTTTTATAATAAAGTTATATTTTACCTTTCCATGGTTAATGACGTCACTCTGTTCCAGCATGCAGGCGGCAAAGCATTGTCCAGATCTGGACACTGGTGAGGAGTTGGTAAAGTATGCTCTCACATCCTTAGGAGTTGCTCGGACTTTGATGACGCAGGACTGTGCCATTCGGACCAGAGCGTCAAGATGACCTTGGACCTATAAAACCGTACAGATTTTGGTGTAAATTTTAATTAAATTAAGGTTAATTAGGCTTTTTTGTTATTTTGAAATGCGTTCTCCCGCCCAGGATGAGGCGAGAGGAAGTGTCGGACCCTTATTGACTAAAACCCCCCCGTTCCTTCTCCTGATTAAAGCCGAGGCCGCGGTGCCTCGTTGCGACCCCGGTTAAACATCAGCCCTATAGGGCCCCGTCTGTAGTGGTCTTAACATTAATCCGGCTGAACTGGTACGTGGCTTTATGTATAACTCTCATATTCCCTATAGAACGGAATTGTATCGACAGTGAACCTAAAATTAATAATTTCTGTTTTACAAAAAGTTGTGGAAATTTTGGGTGAAATAGAATCTATGAATTGGCTCTTATATTTTAAACATTAATTTGGTAATTATTATGTAATAATTTGACGAGATACTCGACTAGTCTATTATGGGCCTCTAGCATGGCTTGAAACTAGTCGAGTATCTCGTCAAATTATTACGTGAGGAAGTCGAAAACATAATAATTTAGGATATCTCACGAAAGATATAAAAAAATATTAATATTGTAAACTAAAGACGGCTATTTCAGCATAACTTTTGAAGAGAGAGTAAGATTTTATCATTGTCATTTATTTACAAGGACCTGTTTTAGTGCCTTTGTAGAAGCACCAAACCGATAAAACTTATGTGGTAAATAGTTCACCTAAATAACGTTTTACGTATGTGGGAAGTTGTAGAAAAATTTGTAGAGGAAATTCAAAACATCATACCTTGGGATCAGTGAAATCGACCAATGTGCCGGACGACCGTTGTGTCCTTAGACTAGCGACGATTGGCAAGACGCAGCTCATGACTTTTATTAACAGCATTGTTCTAGAAAAAATAAGAATATAGTATTATGAAGTCTGCTATTTGAAAAACCAACATGCATTTGTTATTTTTATATCAACGTATCTTGGGGTCGGATAGATGTAAAAAGTGGGTAAGTTTAAGTTTTGTAAATGCACAGGAGAAAATCCCAGTGTTGGGCAACTTCCTATTTTATTTCTGTATGATATAATGGTGTCCGAGTACATTTCAAAACCACATTTTCGTGTTTCATCTCACTTTTAATTATAAAATTAACCTCTGGTGATTCTACACTGAAATTCCTTTCCGTCTTGTAAACGAGATTCTTTATTCGCGTTAAAAGCTTTTACAGTACAGGGTATTAAGTCTGCCGTCCTGTTAATACATTTTTCACTATCTTTTAGGTTATTTTGTTGCCTGATTTAATATATTTCTTTACATTCTTTTGTTAGAATCTAGGAACCTTTTAACCTGGTTTGTTTTCTGCCTCAAATATTTCTCGTGCCCTATATTTTAGGATATAGATATAAAATAAATAGGTTTTATAACATAACCATGCTTTTAATATGACAAAAATAAATCTTACTTCTTATCTTACTATGTATAATATTATAAATGCGAAAGTTACGATGTTTGGATGTTTGTTACTCAATCACGCCAAAACGGCTGGACTGATCTGGATGAAATTTGGTACACAGGCAAAGTATACACTCCGGAATAGGACATAAGTAGGCATAACACACCACGCGGGCGAAGACGCAGGCGAAAGCTAGTCTGTTATACAAATAAACCAATTACGAATTAACCGATACAACAAGTCAAGTCAAAATCATTTATGCCAACTAAACCATTAACATGTACTTTTGAAACGATAAAATCGAATAATGGTGTATCAGTCTATTATTCCGTAAGCATAGTAAGCACACTTGAAAGTAAACAAGAATATTACCTACTTAATTATTTGCTCGTTCCAAAGTACATGTACGTGGAAATGAAGAAACAAGAAATTCCTTGGTTTTCTTTTAGTTGCACAATTCTGCATAACATTAAGCGTATTCTGTATAACACTAACAAGGGAGAAAGCCAGTGTTAAGTTTTTGAGTTTTGTTAATTACTGGCTTCCACCAGCGGCTTCGCACGCGTATAAACGTTATGTATACCTGGATTTTAAAAATAGCAGTGTTTAAAACGATAGCTCTACTTAAATACGATAATCAACCAACTTTACTTATCTAACATTAAAGCTATTTTGGAAATCCGACCAGCAGTTTACAACATTACTCCCTACATACAAACTTACAAATTTCTTTATAACATTAGTATATATGGCCACTTAATGATATTTCCGCAAACAAATATTGATTATTTACTTAACTTTCTTAAATCACTTTGTATAACAATAGTAATAATTTGTAGTAGTAATTTGTATTAGTAATAATAACTTTATAAAATACCACCTGTATAACATATGGAATGCAAATAAAGAATTGAATTGAAACTAATAATATGGCAAACACTTACCTAGTTTTCAGTTCCAAGGTAAAAAGTTGAATGAAGTTTGAATGGACTGACCAGCTGGGCTTATAAAACGTTTGAGAAAAAGATGATAATGGCGAACAATTCTTATTGTTGCGAAACACATTGATTGTATTCGTTTTATGTCGATCACCAGGTGGCGACACTACCAACTTAATTGTGCAGTTGTTAGTGTCGCTAGTTTCGCTGTAAAACTTGTTTTTTTTTGATTTTATTTCAATTTTTGTTCGTTGGCGTAGCGCACTGCGAGGATATTTTTGGTCTTCTCACACGGAGAAGGTACAAGAATTACACCCGGTTTACGAAAGGTTTCCCGGTTTCCAATTTAATCTCTTGTCAAGTCATCTGATTGGTTGATTGAATTATCAACAATCAATCAGATGACTTGACAAGAGATTTAACCGGAGATTAGTTAATTTTAGCGTTGACAAGTCGTTCAGAAAACGGGTGTTAGTCACTTGTTCAAGGCGAATTGGCGATGTCATACTTGTAATAAGAAATGATATCCTTCGCCGTATATTAGTTGTGTCTAATTAATCTAAGAAATAAGTATATAATACGTCAGAGATAATGTTGTTTGCATGCATTAAACCTTTTACTATTTACCTCCAGAACACCACGATTCTCAGGGAGTTTATCAAACGTCAAAATAAAATCATCTGTAAGTCAGTTCGTTAGTAAAGCTCATTAAAATGCAGATTCGTATGTTGAAAAATTCGAAAATAAACTTCATCGTTGCGTGTTAAAAAGGTTCTATAATAAAACTGAATATTCTCTTGTTCAACCTCATTTATATTATTAGTTCTTTTTTTAAGTTAAAAGTTTTTTCATTATCAGGTTTTTGTCATGCCTGATGTGCGTTTATAAATATGTGGTATTCATAAACAAACCCATAATTTTCTTGTGTTACTTTAGTGATTAGTTCCAATTTCGTCCACCTGCATTCGTAAGTTGGTAAATCCATATCATAAAGTAACAGTTTTTTGATGGCACCAGTGTTATACTTTCATTACTCGGATCTTGAATGAAAATTCTCTTCTTCACTTCTGTTTCGTAATTGCTCTTTTACATATTTTATAACTTGTTGGAATAGGTACTGGATGACGTTTGCTCCAGTTTGTGAAGGGGAACGCAAATGAGCAGACGAATCACTGATGGTAAATAATCGACACAGCCCATGTTCATAGGACTTACAAGGGCGTATCCAGGTTTAGGAAGTATTAGGCCGATACCTTCACTTTAATAGCGAAATTCAAAGGAGGTATTAAATATATAAAAACAAGATATAACACAAAATTTTGACCTTATTTAATTAAATGCGTAAAGATTAGGTAGAATTTACGATACGTCAAAATCGATCAAGATACGCGATTGCTCTTTTCTGTCTGATAAACAGGATTGGATAGCATGATTACAATAAAATGTTTTGTCGTGGTGGCCCCGAGTTAAAGGGGCCGTTTTTCATATATGAGAGAGCGGTTTCGAAACCTGGCAAGGACCAATGTGACATTTTCGGAGATATAAATGCTCTTTCAACAATATTTAGATACCATTGACATACGGTGAAGGAAAACATCGTTAGGAAACCTGGATTTATAATTTCTAATTATATATTTGAAATCGCCAATCCGCCTTGAGCAAGCGTGGTAATTAATTCTCAAACCTTCTTGAGGAAATGCCTTGGCTCAGCAGTAGGCACTTATAGGCTGATGATGTGCGATAATACGCCATTTTTGCATACAACCGTGAAATCACTCCGGCCACAATAAAAAACTATCAAAATAACATAAAGATAGAAATAGTTACAGCTCTAAATCCAATGGCGGTAAGTTTCCTTTCATTTTATCTTCCTTTTCATTCAAGAAGGACGTGATCCGCATAGCAAGTGTTCCTGAGTACAGGAATAAATCCAAACTTTAAACTGGAACTTTCATCCAGTTGAAGTTTCTAGCTCCTTTAAATCAATCACAAAACTCAATTGATATTCATTTACATTTTAAAATTCATTGGAGAATGTTTTATTTTAAAAGGTAGTATCGCCTTCTTTGTTCTTGTACTTATTGCTTTTTATAATTAGAAATTGTAAGTTCAGGGATCCTCGCGATTGAAAGCGACGACTGTCGCTACCGAGGGCCGGGCACGCTGTTATAGCAGCGGTAAGACCCCTCTTTGAGGAATGTCTGACGCCACGGCGTCTTCACCTTCCGCCTGAAACTGGTGCTTACCGGGTACGGTAGCTTCGCTAGGTTCCTGTTTTGTATCCGGTGGAAGGAAACGCCCAAGTGTCGTCATTGTGAGGACAACCCTGAGGATACGGTGGCGGTGTGCCCTGCTTGGGCTGAGCACCGCCGTCCACGGGAAGTTAAAAAGGGATCCTCACGATGTTTTCCTACATCTAAGAGTATGTTAGTGGTATCTATATAATCTTAGAAAGTACATAACTTGGAAAACAGCATATTGGTACTTGCCAGGTTTAGGTGCAAACCCAAATCGTTATGACTACATTAATAACAATCTATAATATTGACTGTACGGTTGATGCAGTGGCCGGGCAAGTGACTGCTGTGCAACATGTCGCAGGTTCGATTCTCGCATATGGAAGTGTGAACTTTGTGCGATTCACTAATTGTTGTTTCGAGTCTGGGCGGCTAGTGTATGTGAATGTGTATGTTTATAAAAGCACCCACGACACAGCAGGAAATCCTATTGTTGAAAAAAAACTCAATTAGACCCACTACCATAGAGACTAGTTACAGTTGAACTCTTGACAACTCAGACTCTTTACTATTACAGAGATTGAAAAAAAAATTGGTCAAAGAGACAATTTGTGACTGTTGTAATACAATTTGTACCTCATTTTCACACAGAGTTCTTATTTTCTCGAAATTATCTTCATGACCTTTGTTGAAATAAATAAGATGTGTACCTACTTTGTAAGATTAATCTCAATTGTTTTCTTTGTAAATAAAAAAGAAAAATTGTTATTTTTTTCTCTCTCTTAAATCGTTGAAGATTGTTAGTATAATAAATTAATAATATTGAAGTTTACGTTGAGAAATTAAGTTTTTTTTGTTAGTTTATTTGAGTGAAATAAATATTAGCTAAACATACTTTGGAAAATAATATTTTTGTAAGAATTAGATTTTTTATGCTTAACACTTAGAACGCCATGTTGGACAATGCTGTCCGACGCTAGCGGAGGGTTAGCCTTTAACAGTTTTTGTCGGCAGTCAAATGCTTAATAATTATGCTTAATAGTATGGAAATTTCACTCAGACATATGAAGATTCCTGACTTTCGAATCAATCCACGGCTTTTGACTTCAGTAAACTTAATCACGCCGCTGATTACGACGCTTCGGTTGTAGTGTTTTTGTCACCCTGGTTTTATGATTAGCCGTGGTATCATACCGGTCGAGCCAGGACATTCGTAAAAACTTGGCTTACCCAAATAAAAAAAAGGAATGGGTGATTTTTTTTTGTACGCTTTTGTGATTAATTTTGAAAAAAAGGCTAACTCATGTGAATTAACTGTAACGTAGCCCCGACTTGCACGCTGCTCATGAATAAGAGTCCCGTTGTGACTTGAAATGATACGAGCTTTTCTTGGTTCCCGTTAGTTAGTCGATATCCTACTAATATTAAATGTAAAAGTTTGTGAGAATGTATGAATGTATATTTGTTATTATTTTACACAAAAACGGCTAGACCAATTTGGTTCGGTACGTAGTAGATAGGTGATGCACAGGAATAACAATAAGCTGTCTTTATATAAACATACAAAGCGGGTTGCTGTGGGCGGAGGATAGATTTTCTATAAAAATACTAGCTGTCGCCTGCGACACAGCCCGCTTGGTTGTCGATTTTACACTATTTCAAGATTTATTTATAAATTCTATCTACGTAAAATTAGCCAAATCGATAAAGGCATTGTTGAGTTATAACATTACAACGAAAAGTGGTATTGATTTTTATATATGTACTAGCGCTTACCCGCGGCGTCGCGTCTCTCCTGTCATTTGACTACCTATCCTACTCTACCTACCCTACTCTACTCTACCTACCCTACTCTACCTAACCTATACTACCAACCTTCTCCATCCTATGTCCTTCTCCCAGTTCTTAGCTACCTCCCTACGAATTTTCAGCCAAATCGGTTCAGCCGTTCTTGAGTTATAAATAGTGTAACTAACACGACTTTCTTTTATATATACAGATATAGATATACATGTCCAAATCCCAATTTTTTTTTCTTATATGTAATAGGTCGGCAAACGAGCAGACGGATTACCTGAAGGTAAGCAATCAGCGCCGCCCATGGACACTCGCAACGGAGGAGTTACGAGTGCGTTGCCGACCTTTAAGAGATTAGGGATTTGGAGATTTAGGGATTGAGGAGGGATTGGGGAAGGGGAAGGATTGGGCCTCCTCCTTCAGTTGATAGTAACACAGAACTGAAACCAGTAACTTACATTATTAACTACCGGAAGACGAGACGTAACGTTGCCGTCGTAATAATCAAAGTGCAATTTCATCCCATTAAAAACTTTGACAACCAACTGAGAAGTCACTCAGTCAGGACTCTGTAGCCATTCGTTTTGAACTCCGTTTAATTTAAGTTATTCTGTCTGTGAAGCCATTTAATTCAAATTATTATAAGTCGTTCATGTAGTTAGTTAAGGAAATGTGATGGGAAAGTAAATGTTTTGGTGCATGAAGTGTGAATTAGAATTATGTTTGCTTTATGCCTAGAAAGTGTTTTATTTCTTTCTGGTTTCTGACAGTGCCTAGGTAACAATATCAGTATTTCTTTATTTATTATTCTTTTTTATTTATCGGGAAGGGATAGGGGAAGGAGCGGGATTGGGCCTCCGGTAACCTCACTCCTACGGCGAAACACAACGCTGTGGTTATTTCTCGCCGGTTTTCTGTGGGGCCGTGGTATCACTCGAGGAAGCACTCGCCGAAGCTTGGCTCTCCCACACTTACATCCACATTGTCAGAAGTCGAACTATACTTACACATTTTCGAGATTATAATATAAATAGTAATAGTACTTGGTTCGTGTAGTTTTTTGCTCTTTGGTTTTTAATATTTTGAAAATGGGGAATTGAGGATGAAGGGAGCCAAACTAGTGTGTCTGTTTTGGTCTATCGGCGCTTTGAGGCGCGCGCCGAACGCTACGCGCGGTACGGTTGGGCTGTTACCTAGGGTGAGGCAAAAAAAAGTGTCAGACCTTCAGTGTCTAAAAACACCCGTTTCTTCTCCTGGTTCAGGCCGAGGCCGCGGAACCTTATTCCGCGTGACCCGCGACTTCGGCAAAGCATTGGCCATGTTGGGCCCCATCTGTGTTGGTTTATTGACTCTTTGAACCATACGCGCCGCACACTCGGGTCTGATTCTGGTTGGGTGGCGATCTGCCCTTGCTCGCCGACCGTAGACCCGCGCTTACAGTGGTGGCCGGAGATCTTTACGCCCTCAGACTCGCGAGCATCACCGCTTCGCAGAAAGAGAAGACGGCTTCCAAGTTCCTCGCGTACCACACTATGGCCTCGACTAAGGAAGAATTTAAGCTTTTTCGAACTATTTTCCAATTTGTTTACTTTGCTCTACATATAAAACATACAATGTCGCATATATGTAATTGTAACGCCAACTTAGTGTCACTACACGTTGCACGCCGATCGTGTTTACAAATTACTTTGATATTATTGACTTGAAAGTTTGTACGAAAAGTCGGGCCCTGTGGACGCTATAAATGGATATCTTTATGACACATGACACTCGTTAGACGTCACGAATACTTTTATGACGTCCGTGCGTCAGTTCTATTTGAAGAGAAACGTCGTACCTATAGATAAAAGTATGTATATTGCTTCTATTTACTGTCTAATTACTTGTATACCTACTAGCTTTATCACATATGATGAACAATTGTTGGAACGTTAGTAGCACACCTTATGACTAGTAATTAATTTGCCCTATAACAAAAACTATTATTGAGTTAGCAGCACTTCTCACGTATCGCCTAGCAATAATCTCAATTTAAAAATCGGGACAGTCACGTTTTTAAGATTTAAAACAAAAAGAAGAAAAGAAAAGAAAAAATAAGTCGCCTATTCACGTATTTCTTCTCCACCGATCTTCGTTCTTCTCTATTGGAATCTACAATTTGGAACGAGTAAATAGCTGCACTAAAGGACTGATCGAAAGACTGACATTTTTATCTTTAAATTTGTGTTTATCATGTCAAAGTCGTATTTCAATTAGATTGAAACTAATGATATGACTTTGACTTTACAAAGACTTTGTGAAAATAGCAGTATTCAACTACATATTATAATACAACAAAATGTCCTTTAAAAAGCCATTAAACGAACGTCGCATTCAAATAGAGTTTATTTATTTCTCCGTCATATTTAAAATTGCAGAAAGGACTTTAGGAAAAACATTAACCGATAAAAGCAGCGCGTTTGTATTAAAAAAAATAACAATAAAACATGCCGCAGTTTCATTTAGTAAAAACGTAAGGAAATCCTTAAATAATGAAACAAAAAACCTCAAAAACTTCTGACTGACTGAAACATCGTAATTTGTTCTGCGAAGCGTTAATTCCCCAGTTTGAGTAGACACCTGTACCTGTCCATTATTTACGATTCACGTTTACTTTTAAGCGGTGAAGGGGGAATGTCGAGGTCAATTTACATTGGTCGTGTTTCGTAATAGGAGTTGATTAGATTTCCTACGAGGATATGACGTGAATAAATTTTTATTAAAGACTGGATTTATTATGTTCGTTCCTTCTATTTGTAGATTTTATTTAAGGTGATGTTAGAACTGTTATGTTATACACGGTTGGGTCATAATTGAAGAACCTGTATGAGCATAAACCCAAGGAAATCCATATTATGTATGTCGCATTCGAAGGTGTGTGATGTGCGAAGCGCTGGAATTTCTTCACGATTTAATACTATTTTAAATAAATAAACTGGTGTGATGGTAATCAATCACAGTCGTCCATGGAAACCTCCAACTTCAGAGGAGTTAAAAGTGGCCCTTTTGGTATTAGGGTTTCGGACATTTAGGGTTTGAGAAGGAAAGAAAGGAGGGAAGAGAGAGGGAATGGATTGGGCTCCGGTAACTTACATGCTGGTTTTCTGTGTGGTATCAATCCAGTTCAGCCGACACAATTGTGCCGAAGCATGGCTCTCCCACATTTATATTGCCACAACGAATGAATGCATCCTAATAATTTCTAAAAGATTGAGGAATTTTTGGAAGCCCCGATAATAATATTTGTCTGCACAGTTGGTGCGGTAGCTGGGCAACTGGCTGCCGTGCAGCGTGTCGCGGGTTCGATTCCCGCACGGAACAACTCTTTGTGTGATCCACAAATTGTTGTTCCGGGTTCTGGGTGTCATGTGTATGTGAAATTGTATGTTTGTAACCGCACCCACGATTCAGGAGAAAACCCTAGAGTTAGGCAACGTTTTTATAAAAAAAAATATATATAACTGACCTAGGCAACGAGTCTGAGACATTATCACTTAAAGATAATAGGAGAAAAAATCTAATATATCATTTACCCTCATTCTCGTAGGAAGCTAGGAAATAGAAAAGCCAATCCACCTTTAATCAGTCTTATAAAAACTAAATAACCAGTGTACGATGAAAAAGTAATTGAATTGAAGTAGCGCTCGTACAAATTGCTTTCAGACTCTGTTTGACAGACTGCCTTATTGATTTAGTGGTAACATTATGAGAAATAGTTTTTTCTTAAGTGGAGCAAAAATTGTTTTAGACTTCATGTATATCTGACCTCTAACGTTCGGCCTTAGTGCGGACCGAGAGGAACTGGGAAGCCGTCTTCTCTTGCTGCGAAACAGTAATGCTCGCTAAGGAGGAGGCCTCAGCTTGGAGCAGGAGAAAGAACAGGGTTTAGAAAGAGTCTCCGTCTTACTCTTTTGCCTCACTCAGTTCGGGAGAAGTCACATGACATATTTTCTCTTTAAAATATATTTTAACACTAACTGTTCCGGCAAACGAAATTTTGCCATATAAATAATTTCGAAAAAAAATTGTAAAGCCAGTACATTCTCAGACACAATACGCTTATAATTTTTTTTTTAAATCAGCATAGCCGTTTCGGAGTTGTACAGTGGCTACCAGTGTGACACGGGAATTTATGTATAACATTAATTCAGTATTAAGACCATAGTTTGGCTACTGAGTCGAACTATGGTAACATCAAAGGCTTCATTAAAAAAAACATAAAACAGTGTACTTAACAATAATAGTACTCTACTATTGACTCTGTACATAGCAAATAACTGACAAGATTATTTATAACTGGTCAAAATACATCACGTGTGGATGTGATCGGTCAGGTAAAATTAATGTCGTTGTAAGTATATTTTTTTTTGGTATTTCCAGTGTGAGATTAAAATCTAAAATAAATAAAGAGAGAGATTATTTTAAAGTTTTCTATCCTCTTTTGGAGAGAAAAAAAGTTGTAAAATGTTATATAACACTAGTTTTATAAAAATACCACTGACCTTGTGCGATAAAACGCCACGAGTTATTCAGTATAATTATTTCCTTTCACAATAACTTCGAAATACCTAATGATCATTAAATATTAGTTTTTGTTCACAAAACCAAATTACAATACCACAAATCATATGATTAGAGTTTATACAAAGCAAATTAGATGACAATCTGAACAGATAGCGATCTCAATTACAACGTGCTTACAAAACAACATAATATCCGCCATTTTATGCCAATGTTACTGGCTGGCGCACATGTCAATAAATTTTAAATATCGAACAATCAAAATACCTAAACATAAAAATAATTCTAAATAAAAAAGATGTTGTCGAAAAAGGTTTTAATTGCCGTTGTTTATTTGACAGTTTTGATAACCTTTGTGGTTTGTCAAGATGAGACGACCATGCCGGCTACCACGAAGGGAGAGGAAGAGGAAGAAGAAGAACCAGCTAAGAAGGGCTGTTCCATCTGGTGCTGGATTCAGAAGATTGCGATGTTTGTCGTCTCCCAACTACTGAGTGGTAACTGAACATGTTTGATTAAATTTTTTGAAATAAGCTTTCTCTTATTATTTATAGTTGTACAATATTTCTTAGATCATTATATCCTATGATCCGTTATTATGGACTTTGAATTTAGATGTGTTTCTAACAGCAGCTAGACTTTTATATTCTATATCATTCTAGCCTTAATAGATTGAGGGAAAATTCACTCAGCTGACATACAGTTGCATAAAAAAAATCTACCAGAAACACAACGCTTGCGGCGTCACGTTCAATCTGTGTCACAACTGTAGCACTGTTGTTTAAAACTGTTAGCGAAAAGGTTGTAAAAATCCTTATAGGTTCGAAAAATGACGCTCTTATTTTTAACTTGAAGTATTTTTTTATTTTTTATTCATTACAAATTAAAGAAGTGATGCTGCCAATTTATATTCACCAAAAACAAAAAAAAGTTCAACGTTTAATAAGGTAAAAGCATTGTAATTTAAAATACGTTCTAGAATGCTTTCAAAGGATTCTCAATTTAAAATTCAAATGACTTTCCAGATTTTGATCAACTTATTTTCTAGAAGCATTCAAATTAAGTGTTCTATATATGAACCCTTTTATTTGAAAGCAAAAGAGATAATGCTTTGAAATAATCAGTCTTCATTTATTTTGTACTTAACCCTATATAAAAAGTTAAACAGATTATTTTGAGTATCTGACTTTTTCAATAAATTTATTTTATAGATATAGGGTTTTCATTTAGTTCTATGCACAAAATAATTCGAATCGTTTAGCAGTTGATTTAGAAAATTTATAATAATAGTGTTGTACTTGTGATAGTAAGCAATCAGCGCCGCCTATGGACACCCGCAACACCAAAAGAGTTACGAGTGCGTTGCCGGCCTTTTAGGGACAAGAGTTTCAGATATTTAAGGATTGGGAAGAGATAAGGAGGAGGTTACCTTTCGGGATAAGGCCTCCGGTAACCTCACTCACACGGCGAAACAACGCTGTGGTTATTTGACGCCAGTTTCCTGTGAGACCGTGGTAATAATCCGGTCGAGTCGACCCATTCGTGCGATTGATTGATAATAGAGGTGTATGATATTTCAACTTTTTCTCTTAGAGCTCAGCCTCATTAAGACGCAATGGCGATGTCTGCCTAGCACAATGCGTACTTAGTGCCTTTTGGACTACGGCTACTAGGTGTAGCTACGAGATAATGTGGTGACCTAGTAAAGTTCCCATTAAAGGTAATATGTACCTACAAGTAAACTAAACCGCCTATTATCCGCCATTTTGTTGCTTTACGAACTCAATTGCACTGACTTTCAATGATTGAGATCCTTAGCTAACTGCAGCATGAGACAGTTTCTTCCTTCGCTCTGCACCATAGCAAAGTAACTCTATTCTGAGTTTCGAAAATTCCGATAAAATTACATTTATACACACATACAAGTTTTATGTTCTGATTTTGGTAACAAAACATTAAAACAGATAAAGCATTTTAGATATTCATGCGACATGGTTAGCACAGAATAGTCGTTTATCGTCATTACGATACGTTTGGAGCCAAATTAAGCATTAACACGAGCGTAGTAACGATGTTAGTATCCGTGGAGACTCTAGGGGCGCCTAGCATTTATTGTGTTCTATTTTTTTTATGTAATGGTTCAGAAAACGAGCAGACGAATTACCTGATGGTAAACGACGGAGGAGTTACGAGTGCGTTGCCGACCTTTTAGGGATTAGGGATTGGGAGATTTAGGGATTGAGGAGGGATTGGGGAAGGGGAAGGATTGGGCCTCCGGTAACCTCACTCACACGGCGAAACACAACGCTGTGGTTGTTTCACGCCGGTTTTCTGTGAGGCCGTGGTATCACTCCGGTCGAGCCGACCCATTCGCGCCGAAGCATGGCTCTCCCACACTTTTCTATACAATGATATTATAAGTAAAAAGGTGTAGATTGGTTAAAAGCGGCTCAGCAAGTGATACATTAAAATATGGCTAACTAGCCACACTTTTTCATATTCGTCTCTTTCACTCGCGATTATTGAATCATGCCATCTCACTTTGACGTCTAAACATACGAATTGTTCATGTGTGTATCAATGTGTCGTTTTTGAAAATCGAATTTTGTATAGGTATATACGAATAATATATTATCATTGGTTCTATATGAATTAGTTGCACATTGGCACCGCTCTTTTGACAGGCCAATGTGAATCCGTTCGCGTAGAAATTCCATTTCAATTGACATGACATGTTCTCCTTCGACAGTTTTCAACTTGTTATTTATTTGCTCAACGAATATGCCAATCCATGAGGAAAAATCAAGGAGGAATAAAACACATGCGTCACTTACAGTTTCATACAAATTCATTTTTATTTAAACGGAATGTTTTATTGGAGTGGATATTCTATAACATTTCATTTTTGAGTGTATACAGCCATATTTTTGCGCTAATAGGTCGGCCCTACCGGAGTTATACCACACCCTCCAAGAAAACCGGCGTTATGCAAGCATAACGTTAAGTTTTGCCGTGTGGGTGAGGTTGTTACTTGAGGCCGAAACATAGCCATCCTTCCCCTATCTCCGATTCACAAATCCCCAATCCTCAAATCCGTATTCCCCAAAAGGCTGACAGAGCACTCAATACTCCTGGTCTTGCGAGTGTTCATAGACGGCGTCGATTGCTTACCCTCAGGTGAACTGTCAGCTCATTTGAAGACCTATCCCATAAAAAAATAGCATTAGAAAATGAATGGATTTTATATAATTATATATCTACGTAATTTTGGGGTGAATTAGGTCGGTGGTTAATTAATCACAGTTTTTGCTGGGGACATCAAAGAGAGGAGAGAAGGACCAACAATCTAATTAATTAATTAACAAAATCTCGGGTGAAAATAGTAATTGGGTCGTCTTTTTTTCTTCAAATAATGGCGGTTCGGGAAACTTTGAATTGCTTAAAGAAGTATTCTGTATAAATGTGTGCAGTCGTTGAAGACCTTGGCTTTCTTACAGACGTCTTGTTTGTGTGGAGTTGCTTCTGCATTTTCCATACAGGAGGCTCCGTAATCATTGATCAAACTCCTTTGATCTAATTGGTGAGCTATTTGGACACGTTTTCTGTAACAATGAAAATGTTCGTATAAATCTTTGTTCTTTATAGATGTAATTCTTCTTTGTCTGTGTCTTTTGTGAGGTTTTTACAAACTTAATAAAAACGGCAAGTAAAAATGTTATAGCCTTTTTAGTTCCTTTTATTCTGCTGTTTTTGTTGTTAATTTGTTGGTAATTTAGGCTACTACTTATGTTATATTAAATTGTAGGTACTTATATTACTTTAGGGTTTGTTTTTTGTGAGGGGAAAATCATTAAATGACTTCTCCTACCCAGGGCCGGGCGGGAGGGAGTGTCAGACTCTTACTGACTAAAAACCCCCCTGTTCCTTCTCCTGGTCTGGGCCGAGGTCGCGGTGCCTCATTGCGCTTACTCCGCAACCCCGGCTGAACATCAGCCCTTTAGGGCCATGTCTGTGGTGGTCTATTGGCTCTTTGAGGCGTTCGCGGAACGCTACGTGCCGTACGCTCGGGCCTGGTTCTGGTCGGGCGGCGAGCTCGCCGACCGCAGGCTCGCGCTTACGGTGGCCGGAGATCGTCCCTTGATCCCCGACGCCGACGCCCGTAGTGTCGCCTGTTGCGGCGGCTGGAGCGTGAAGAGGAGGATTGCTCCCTCACGCGGGCCGCCTCTCTCTTCGCGAGCATGACTGCTTCACAAAAGGAGGAGACGGCGTCCCAACTCCTCTCACTCAGGTGCTCAGCCCAGGCAGGGATATTACTTTAGGGTGAGAGTGAGGGTTTGAAACGCAACAAGTACCACCAATGTGATTTTATCCGAGTTATATTATACTTTCTAAAATACAGTGAAGGAAAACACCGTGAGGACACCTGAACTTATAATTCCTAATTATAAGTTTGAAATACCAACCGCCTTGAGTAAGCGTAGTGATTAATGCTCACACTTTTTCCGTGTGAGAAGAGGCCTTTGTTCAGCAGTGAGTTCTTATGAGCTGGTGATAATGATTATGATGTCAGACAAATTTAAGTAATGGCAAATTAATGGAACATTTGTCTGCGCGACGTCACCGCAACGCGTACGCTGCTTATGTATAAGGGTCCCGTTGTGACTTAAAACTATTATTACCTAACTCACGTACTAAGTCGTTTTCAATAAATTAAGTTTTCCTCAAGATAGTTAACATATCAAATTTGGCTTGAAATATGAATTTCAAACATGACGCTGCCATACTTTTAGCACCTCAATCAATCTCAGAGCCTAATATAAGACCTTCTTACAGTTCCATTGACAACTTTTCCCTCGAAGAATGACTACAAATCCTCAAAATCCCGTTTTAGTGTCGACATCCTCGACCGAACACTTCTTTTATCATTTATCTGGATATCCGTCTGAACGTGTTATGCGGACATGTCTCCGACAGTTAGTAGACGGGAGTAATTTATAACATGGATGTGGTGAAACGAGGGGTTGTGTTTGAGATTTCTATGAATTTACCATTGATATGGTAGTTTGAATAACAAAAAAAATAACAATAGTTTCGAAAAATTTAATGAGGATCTCGGATCTCGTTTTAGGCAGAGTTTTAAGACCACCTGTGCTGGTATTCCTATTACACGAGGAGGAAATCTTATAAAATCTAAAGAAATTGACGTGACTCCACTTGTCCTAAAATCTCTGGTGTTATGTACAAGTAAGCGTGGGCGACATCGATTTTTTTAGTGGAAAAGAAGGCAATCGAGCTCGGTAAGTGATTACCGGATCTAATGGTAAGTAAACAGCGCCACCCATGTAAACCAGCTACACCAAAAGATGCCTTTTAAGAAGGAGAACACTCGTTTTTTGAAGTTTCAAACGCCGTATCAGTTCGGAAATACCACTACCGAAAGATTATTACATAGTTTTGCTATTGCGAGGCAGAAAGAAAATCGAGGCTGACTAATCCTCTAGATGACCGTGGAACTGGCTATTACACGATTTGTCGACACCAAGTATTTCAATACCGAACAAGACTTTTATGTGGTTCACTGAAATGATTGTTTATTTGATAATTGGTATAATGATTGATCTCTGATTAGTTACCACCGGGTGATCTGTCTGTTCGTTTGTTACGATGCATGTTCCATAAAAAAATTAAACAAATATTTAATTATAATAAACACAATGATCTCACCTATAAACCTCCAGATTGAAAACACCATTAGGACTAATGATGCCAAACTTTTTGAGGACGCAGAAAATTATGCAAGGTTCATCCGACTCCTGGATTTGAATGTGCTTATTCTTTGGATACATTTGTGAAAGACATTGCTCCGCAACTATGTCGCTTAGTTTTTCGTGGGCGTACATCACCGATATGCGACCGTGAGCGATGCTGGACACCATTATAAAAGTAAAAATCAGGACCTCTGAAACAATATATGGATGATTTTAATTTTCTTTTTTTTTTAGTTTTAAGCGTAAATATTGGTTTTACTTGTATTTCGTCGTGTGATTGAGGTTACCTTAGGCCCAATCCTTCATTCCCATCCCCAATTCCAGAATACCCTTATCCTCAAATTTATAATCCTCAAAAGGTCGGTTACGCACATGTCACACCCTCTGGGCATGTGGCGAAATTTAGTAGAACATTATTTTGAAAACATGCACATACTTAAAGTCTGAATTTTTCGTTATATTTTGTATTGGTAAGGTAATGATTGCTTTATTTAGTGATATGTCACATTTTAAAACCTCTTTCAGGTAAAATTAATTCTATGCCATAGAGAAAACGTATATTTCTGACTGAGTTTAGTTGCAGTCCATTTGATTAATTATCAGCTAGCTTCAGTAAACCGCTTAGCCATTCGATTTATATGCTAACCTAACCTAGCATTCTGGTTGCAACTCGGTCTCAATGACAATCCATCCACCCTTGAACTGTTTGTAGGAGAAATTTACCTATTCAACCATTATTGCTAGCCATTCAGGAGGTTAGTTACATGGTTTATTATAATACTAGTTGGTTGCGGTGTACGAATACAGGCAAAAACATAGAAGGGTTAATCGATTGCATGTAAGCAGTAGTGCGATTAAATTTAGTAAAATCATTATCTGAGTGTTTTAATCGACATAATCGTTAGATCAGTCGATTCAGGATAATGACATCATTGTTTTTTGTTAAATTGGTGAGAAGAATCACCCAGAACTTCATAATAAAGTTAGCCACTTAACTTCTAGAATACAAATTATGTACCCACCCATAAACATATAATATGATAACGCTGGAATATAATTCTCTACCCGTATATCACTTCTCAACTTACAAGAAACTTCTAAGAAAAAGTAACACAATTAAAGCCACAGGCAGACGTCAATGTAGTTATCAGCAAAAACTTTCATCGGAATAACTTCTAGCAAAGAGCATATCTATGTTAGAAATAATTCCAAGGAGTCTTCTATAGGGACTGAACTAAATTTCCAGGAAAATAAGAGAACCTACGTAATCGAAATGCCTACATTTCTTATTTTCAGAGACATGTAATGTTCGTGACAGACTTGGATTTATTTGATGCCGCAAATGATTGTACGTGGAAGGTTTTCGATGAGGGTTTTCGCGCGGATAGAGGCGCTAGTGTCGTTTTAGGCGAAAAACCTTTTAATATTGCAGATAGTACGTATGTAAATTACCGTTGTATTCCTCATCTATTTGCAATTTTTAGGTAGATGTGTATTTACAAAAACTACATTGATTAATATGGAATACTTTTGTCAATGTATACTTAAAAATATACTACCTTTCTTCTCTATAAAATAAAATGAAGATTGAATAAAACTAAAAGTTTTCTAAGGTTTCTAAATGTAATATTACGTATGTACAACTAATTAAGGGCGACCACGAACCACAAGTGCCTTTGCTAATAGACATGCGGTTGGAGGTTGCAAATTTGGACACTACGTGTTTGTGAATGTAGATGAATTTACAGCTATATGTATAGGTTATCAAGGTTTAATTTGCATTACTGTGAGCCATGTTTAGAAAAAGAGTTTACAAAATTTTATGCAGATTCTTAAGGTCTCTGTGGAAGTATGTAGCATTTAAATTATTCTGAAGAAGTAACTGTGGAATCCTCGACAGACAAGAAAGCATTTAAGTCTAATCTAGTTTGCACTTAGTTGTTATTTACATAAAGTTTATTATGCCTTGATCATGCTGTATCATAAAATGTACTTACGCTACTCTTTATCTGCAATGTGTTTAAAATTATAAGTTCATTTAGATTTTATTTTCTATTAATAATAATAGGGATTAAAATATACTATTTTCTGCTATACTGAGCAGTGCGGATTCTGCGAATTCCTACGTACGTATTCTTCCGACGCGGATTCAAGTAGATTTTAACGTCCTAACAGCTTCATCGTAATTCTTATAGACTGTATAATATTCCTCAATAAAAAAAAGTATCCATCCACATCTTTGTTCCAAGGGAATAAGGTTGAATTTTCTAGTTTGTCTTTCACAGGCTTTGTTACCATAGCCAGGACTATAAAACGGTTCAAATGAATGATTCTGAATGGCTCTAGTTCTGGCTTTGTCCCAAGTTTATATGGACTTTATAGTTTGTTTGTCCTTGACCGTCCTTGACACTTTGAATTTAGTTTTGCCGCCCATTCTAAGTTCCCGTCAATCACTGTTGGAGTGTTGGTTCTCTCATGAGACTTAAGGACTGTTTAAACTAAGTTTCCTCGAAGATGTAAAATATTTTCCAGTAAGTTTGCCTCTCGCTTATTGTTCTTTGTAAATTTGGAGCAGAATAGAGAATCCGGGGATGTTCAGAAACACGCTCGGTCAACGGTCGTCAAAATTAGGCGTAGTGGACTAAACGATCTTACACCATTTTTGTATGTTTTTGTTTTTTTTTTATGGAATAGTTCGGTAAACGACTGATTACCTGATAGTAAGTAATCAGCGCCGCCCATGGACACCCGTAACGGAGGAGTAACGAGTACGTTGCCGACCTTTTAGGGATTAGGGTTTTGGAGATTTAGGGATTGGGAGGGATGGGGGGAGGGGAAGGATTGGGACTCCGGTAACCTCACTCGCACGGCGAAACAGAACGCTGTGGTTGTTTCACGTCGGTATTCTGTGAGGCCGTGGTATCACTCCGGTCGAGCCGACCCATTCGTACCGAAGCTTGGCTCTCCACACTTAAATTTGGAGCAGACTAGAAAATTTGGGGATGTTCAGAAACACAACGGTCGTCAAAATTAGGCGTAGTGGATTAAACAGTCTTTTGCCACTTTTGGGAGACTATTTTACACCCTTTCGATGGTTTATTAGCGTTCTATCTGGATACAGATTTAACCATATACGGTATGTTATTGCAGCCGGCATTGCGGGTGTTAAAGTTATAATGACCAGAAGCCTGGAGCAAGATAAGGAACTATGTGGTTTTTGGTCAATAAAAGTCTGATACTCGCTCTTACCCTCCACCAAGGGTGGCCCAGAAGTCCTTTGTGTGTGTTATTCTAGTTTATATTTCCTCTTATCTTCTTCAGAACCTGATGATTCATGTTCTTTTTGCTTTCAGTGCTCACTCTTACAATACAATACCTAGCAGACTTTTGTTTTTACTCTTTTTTTAATTCGTAATGTGCACACATCTGGCCATTATGACGCTTGATGGTAAGCAATTTCTAGAAACAAACATTAAACCGAAAATAACACGAAGAAACCAACATACGAAGAAATAAGCAGTTTTATTTTGAAACTAATAATATTTTGTAAACTCGCTAAATTGCGGTGTCTTAATGAGAGAGGTTATGTATAAATATGTATACATACTGACGGAAAACATTATTCTTTAAATACGAAGGCAGACCATACAATGAATGATGACTGAAGAATGTTATATTATCGGCATTTTCATCATCAGATCAGCTTACAGCTAGATCTTTAACTCTTGGATATCCTATCTCTGCTTATGACTAAACATCCTTGGGCATAGTAGGTATGAGTAATCCTTGCTACTTATACATATAAAATTGAAAAACTAACTCATTTAGTTATTCGATATACCTTGATAATAATTTTTAAATTTTGATAACATTTTTCGGTAGCCACTTTATTATCACAACATCGCAGAGGTCTGAATACTTGTAGTCATCAGCATACAAATAACAGTACTGCTATTTCTTTTTATTAAACAATCTATTGAAATATTTCTTCAAAATAGAAGTACTAACTTTTCAACTACCTACAAAATTTAACAAGCATGAATATTTACTAAGCTCATTTGGTAGTCGAAATAAGAAACCAAAATTCTAAAAATACTAAACAAAAATCTGACCAGATGTGTACGGTCTAATGAAACCTTCATGGCCTTTGATATGCAGAGAGAGTTCGTCTAAATTATTCAGGAATGTTGTAATCAAAGGCCTTCAATGAGAATGTTTCGCCAAGACGTGCAGAAAGAAATATGCTTTAATTTACATCAACTTTATATCAAAATGCAAAACAGATTTGAAAGGACACCCCAGTAATAAATTCAGCGGTACACATTATCGGTTTTATTAATAAGTTTGTAAATAAAAAATGTAAAAATATACATCTATAGTATTCTATAGACTATTTCCATTCATCGGGATCTCTGTAGGACACTGCGTACAGTTGCGTGCAATCGTTGAACACTTTTGCTTTCTTACATACATCGTGGTCCAAATTCATTCCATTGATGTTTTGGGCACAAGTCTCTCCAACGTCCGATATCAATATCCTCGGATCGTACCTGTGTATCGCCTGCACTCTTTTGTAGTAATTCTTTATGTTAATGTGACCATCATTCGTCATTATACCGAATTTTTTGAGCACACAATGAATTATACAAGGTATATCATTCCTGTCAATCCGCAGAGGATACTTATACAAGTTCCGTGGGTACATTTCTGTTAAGCAGTCATTTGTTATTTTGTCACTTTTCTTGTCACGCGCGTACAGGATCGAGATCGGAGGTTCCGACTCCAAGCTTTGTGAGAAAAACTTTGTTTTGTAGCTGTTCACTACAACAGCTAGCGATAGGAAAGTCGTGAAGATGAGTATTTCTGAAAGTATTTCAACAAACAGTTACGTACAACAACGCTAGCATTACAAAGTGGGAAATGGCGTTGTTGTGATCTGGACGTGGAAAAGTTCCAACAATGTCAGCGGTTCACTGGATACAAATGAGAATGTAATATGATTTCACTGAAACGAAGTTCCCGAGAAACTTCTGCTAGACGCGAACATTACACAAATGAAATTTCTGCAACCATTAAAAGAATTTCTTATTCTATTTCAAAGGAATTAATCTAAAGTTTAAATCGTTTGTCGGTGTGCAGATATCTCTGTTTCAGACTTCTCATAACGTTCTATTGTTACGAAAGACTGAGAATCGACCTGAACATCTCTGGTATCGATAAAACAAAATGTACTTACTTTCCATTGCAGTAATTTTGTAGAAAATATCACAGTTACGTCACGCCGTAAAAGTATTGGACATCATTACACAAGTCCAACAAAATTACTGAGAGCTGAAACAGGAGAAATTGTATATTTTCGTTTTTACGCCAGAAAATGTATTGTTTCAAAAATTCAAGTTTAATGTTTTATATACTAGCTGAGCTACTGCAAAACAATCGACCATTGTTCAAGATGGTACGATAAGAGCCGCAAACGCGGTAAAACGTAATGTAAAAAATGACCGAAGTAGCCAGGTGTGGAGCATGTTTGAATGCATTCTTTATATTTTCTTAAGTATCAAATAAAATTGTTAATGTCAAAGCTTTCAATGGAATTGCTGTTATGAGGACCCGCTTTATATATAAGGCTTCACAATTGGCAACACTCTTCAGAATTGGATTTATTTATGGCAAACAAAACATTTTTATTTCCTAACAAATTCGTGTGAAGCCCGTTCATCGGATTATGTTGTTCAATATTTATGTTTCACTCGATTGATTCGTGGAACTTTTCTTTGTTTTATTTTTGTTTGTTTTATTGTCTTGGGTCCCCCAAAAAGGTCTCCGGACCAAATCGAGCGGTCTTTTACTGCTGGTTAATGATGAGGAGCCTTCGGGAACAATTAAAAATGTAAGCTAACGGGGCCCGGCTGAATTGAATTTGAGTTTTCCTGTTCCCAACTTTCGTTTGAGGAGAACTGTTCTTTGTTCGATGCCGGGCAGTGGTTTTATAGTACTAAAATTGTCCGCTCATTAGTTTTTATAGATGAAAATTGATAGAAATTTTCTGTTAATTAATGCGGCTATTAAAATTATCTACACTGATTGCTTGTACAAGAAAACTATATACTTTGTTAAATTATGCTTTGTAGAATTATTGGAATGTCCTGAAAAAACAGGATGAAAATAAAATATGTACTTAGTGTGAATGAATTTAAGGTCAATTGAGAAGTTACGTAAACATAGATCCCAAAGCTAATAAGGATTAGCAATACAACACTACCTATAATAATAATAGTATATTATTGAAGGATTATAAATAAATGATTTAACATTATATTTCATCTGCCATAATTTGTCAGTTTATCCAGCGGTACTGATCCAAACTTTATAGTTTGGATCCAAAATATATATATATATTTTATAAATGATTGCGCGATTTTCACCGCTTCGTATGAGCCCCAAGAGTGGCTTGAAAGTAGTTGAAATATCTAGTCAGACAGTTATGTCAGAAAGCCATTAGTCATAATGAGAGCCGTACTTTTGGGTTTCAGGGCTGTGCAATAAGCTACCGCAGCTTTGGCCTTGAGCAGGAGAAAGAACGTGGGGGTTTTTAGTCAGTAAGAGTGAGACTCCCTTTTGGTCTAGGCGAAATAATTCATTTGACAAATTGTCCTCAAACCTCGGCGATCGGAGTTACACCACGGTCTCACATGAAACTAGCGTGAAACAACGCTTACGTTGCGTTTCGCCGTGTGAGTTGACTTAACGAAGCCCCAATGATGTTTGAAGATGGAGGCCCAATTCCTAAATCTCCAATTTCAAATCGGAATCCTCTAAAAGTTTGAACTCGTAATTTGGTGTCGTGGGTATAAATAAATCAGGTAATCCTTCTGCTTAATTAAATCGTCCTCTCGCATCGAAGAGAACTGAATCACAATTGATTACATGGTAAATTAAATATGGCTGACGAAAAGTATGCCAATAAGAACATCTCCACCGAATCCTTTTGGGAGAAGAAAACGTGACATTGTAACATGTACCCTTACAATCAGAGAAAATCTTTTCAAATGGGAATATGAAAGTTTCACAAATTATTATTATGTTGTTGATACAAGAATCTATATATATATAAAAGAAAGTCGTGTTAGTTACTCCACTTATAACTGACGAACGGCTGAACCGATTTAGCTGAAAATTGGCAGGGAGGTAGTTTAGAGCCAGGAGAAGGACATAGGATAGGATAAAGTAGGTAGTGTAGGTTAGGTAGAGTAGGGTAGGTAGTAGGGTAGGTAGAGAAAGGTAGGTAGAGTAGGGTAGGTAGAGTAGGGTAGGTAGAGTAGGGTAGGTAGAGAAAGTTAGGTGGAGTAAGGTAGGTAGAGTAGGGTAGGTAGAGTAGGGTAGGTAGAGTAGGGTAGGTAGAGTAGGGTAGGTAGAGTAGGGTAGGTAGAGTAGGGTAGGTAGAGTAAGGTAGGGTAGGTAGAGTAGGGTAGGTAGAGTAAGGTAGGTAAGGAAGTCAAATGACGGGAGCGACGCCGCGGGTAAGAGCGGTATTTCTATAAATACTCATCACAATACGAGACATGTAAGTCATAACTTTTCTTTATTCGATACATGGTTGATTTATCTTCTTAAGTTTATTCTTGACGTAGTTTCGCTGTATTCATGCAAAATAAAAGTTGTTTTGTGTATGTACAGATATGATTTTATTTATGGAAATAAATGGCGTGTTTAGTAACTAGATAATTCTTTGTAAGTCCGATGAGTTAGAATAATGGCTGCTACGAATTATTTATCTTACCATCTAGTATTTTGTTAGTATAACATAATTCTTAGAAATAAGTTTCTTTCTTTTTGGAAGATAATCGTTACTGAAGAACTCATTTACACGTCGTATTCATTAACTCGGTAAAACTGAGACCAATCGTTGTTAAATGCTTCCTTTTTTGGGAATTACACGTGATACATACTATGTAACATTCGCTTGTTAGAAGATTTTCTTTTCATATTTACTACCTACTAGCTACTCTCGCATGGTTTCACCCGTTGCTTGGCTCCATTTAATCGTAGCGTGATGTTTTATAGCCTATAGCACTCAGGAACATTGTAGCTATCTATCAGTGAAAGAATTTTACCAATACGATCAGCAGATCCAAAGATTACCCCCTACATACAAACTTACAAATTTTACCTTTTTATAATATTAGTATAGATTAAAATTCACATGGTCACAAAATGCTTCAACTATTCAAGAAAACACCAGTGTTGCAATACCAAAAACATATTTCTCAGTGTTGCCGTATTACGTTTTTAAGCAGGGCAATTCAAGCGAATCCTTTGTTGGGAGATATCTCTTGATTTAATGCGAGAAGATAAAGGATATATATTTTAATGTTTGCCTTCGTATTGTGGGAACAATAATTAACGAATTGATTTATTAAGAGATTGTGGTTCTTTGCTACGAATGCTTGTTAATGGATTCTGTTTAAGAGATGTTGATTAAATTATTTATATACTAGCGACCCGCCCCGGCTTCGCAACAGTGCAATTCTGATACAAAAATTATCCACTATAAGTATAATGGTTGCCCTGCTTGGGCTGAGCACCGCCGTGTCCTCGGGGAAGCGATCGGCGACGCTTACTTAAAATTTCAGTTACATTTCAATACAGTTTGGATCGCGGGAGCAAGCGCTAAACTGACCCCGGCTTGTGACAGGGGAAGGAAAAGGGTCAGTAAGAGTCTGAGACTCCTTCTTCTAAACAGGTGTTGTGTCATTTAATGATATCCCTCCTTAAACAGAAAAGACCACGGAGTAATAGTAAGCATTGCAATTAGGTAGTTTCCTAGATCTAAAATAAATAAATTCAACGATTCAATACAATAAAATATTGAAAAATAGCTATACTTTAATTCATCGATCGATCTATACACTAAATTTTAGATACTTTTTAGCAAATTTTTAAGAAATAAGTAAACTATATGACGTGAAAATACTATGACGTCATAAGTCAGTATTTCATACAAATTTCATAGAAAAGTATCGTTTCTGACATTTGGATATAAGTATTGAATTTGACTAGTTGGAAACTATCGCATTGGACCAGCCTTAATGAATTTGAACAGTCGAGATTATAATTATATGTAGCAATTTCTTCTTTAGGTATTTAAGCACGTCTCAAAGGATAAGTCTTCAAGTTAAACAATTTGCTTGTGTTTACGAACTTAGGTTAAATGTTTTGTTAACTGCGACCCTGGGCTGTAAAGCTGAGGACCAAAGTTTTCATTTTATACTATTTTGCCTTGGACCTGCGTCTGTTGTGGTAAATCTAGTTAGTTGTGTTTTGTTATGACTTTTAAATAAAATCAAATAAAACGTTTAGTTTCTCTGACAGTCACGAAAAACATACGACACTGGGGTTCTGAGATTATTAAAAATTAAAAACTCACACTAGGGTTCTTACTTGTGCCTCGGCTTAGAGCGAAGATTAGAAATAGCAGGTTTTTTCATCAGTACGTCTGACACTCCCTCGCGCCCGACCCTGGGCGGGAGAAGTCATTTGATGGTTTTCCCCTCACAAAAAAGAAAACATTATTGTTGCTATCTAGTATAGAAATATTCAAGGACGAGGGGCCGTTGTGAAGAATTAAAATGAAAAAAAAAAACATTCGAAAGTAAAAAATAAAAATAGTATTTATTTGTCGTTGGCAACACGAAGACAAAAGTATTATTCATTCAATTGTGGTTACACCTGTTTTCTCGGAAATGGACTCCCAAAAGGTCATTTGTTAATTAGGCATTATCAGCTAGTAACTGCTGCACTACAAAAAGTCCCACTCTTCTAACCCAGCACCAAATATTACAAGATCTTCTAGAAGTAGAAGAAGAATTATCTTCTGGCATCTTATTAGCAGTTTTCTCAGTTGCAGACAGCATGGTATAATTCAGAGTATTATTGTAGACATCTAGATCTTCAAAATCGTAGTACACTGGGTAGGGATAGTAGCCAACGTATTGTGGGTAGTGGTAGGCAAAGTTCGGGGATATTAAAATAAGTAATTTTATAACAACGAAGAGATTTATCAAATTCATCATTTGTTTAATTTTTAGCTAGCTTAGCTACTCTGCATTCTGTTATTTGTCACGCTGTCAATGATCTGAAATATAAAAAAAAATACTTTTACTTTCCGATAAAAATAATTCTTATTAAATAAATTAAGTTTGTGGCGAAAATTATGTGTGACATAATTTACACAGAAAGTTAT